GGCCTTGCCGCGGCGCCGAGGGCTCTTTAAAATCGTCTGGGGACGACCCCAAATCGCTAGAAATGGCGCTTCCAGACTGCGAAAACGACCAATAACGGCCCAAGATCATTCCAGAATTAGCTCCTGACTGCCTAAGAGGCCTCCAAGACACCCCAAGAGGCTTCCAAAATGCCTTCCACGGAGCCCCAGGAGGCACAAATAGTTTATTCAATCGCTTCGTTCATTCCGCCGGCCCATGTTGCATGATCGCTACTGCTTCGCCGTGGGCCCGTGGCCATTGTGGCGCCGCCGAGTAGGAGGATGATGAGGATAGGGAGGGGGGGGTAAGAGGAGGAGAGAATGAGAAAGAGAGGAGGATGATGAAGATAAGTAGGAGGAGGACGACGAGGAGGAGGAGGAGGAAGAGGAGGAGGAGGAGGAGGAGGAAGGAGGAGGGGGATGAGGAGCGATGAGGAGCGCCTTTGTCGTCGAAGTCGCCGCCGCCGCCGCCCGCTGCCGCCGCCCGCCGGCGTCGTCGTCGTCGTGGAGGGTCGAGGCTCGAGGCTGGAGGCCGAACGCGGGGGAGGAGGACCACCCCGACCCGCGTTTCCCAAGTCGCGTCTGGCTGGAGTCTTGGAGGCGTCCTGGGGGCCTCCTGAGGGTGTTTTGGAGGCCTCCAGAGGGCCTTTTGGAGGCCTCTTGAGGCCTCTTGAGGGCCTCTTGGGGGCCTCTTGGGGCCTTTGGGGGCGTCTTGGGGCCTCCCGGGGGCCTCTAAGGGCCGAGAGCTCGAAATTCTGTTTCGTGAACCCCCTCTTGGGGCGTTCTTGAAGCGTTCTTGGGCCGTCTTGGAGGCCTCTTGGGCCGTCTTGGAGCCGTCTTGGGCCATCTTGGAGCCCTCTTGGGGGCCTCTTGGGAGGATCTTGGAGGCTTCTTGAGCCGTTTAGGGGCGTCGTGGAACCGAAAAGGTTGAAACGCCCAAATCTGTCCAAAACCTATGGAATGGTTTGTGCTTGCACGTGAAGGAAGTCAAGAGGGGTTTTCATTATGTCGCCCCTTTGGCTCCGCTCCTTCTTGCATCGCATAGCTTCTCTGGTCCCGAGTCGATGGATGGGCGCCATCCCTGAGGGGCGGCCGCGCTGCTGGCCTGGGTGGTAGTGGCGCTGGAGGCCGCGGCCCACGTTGGGCCTGGGGTGAGCCCGACGCGGGCGGCCTGCCCTGACCCTCGTGCCCCGCCTGTCCTGCGTGTCCAGAGGCGGCGGCCGGCCCAGAGGCCGCGGCCTGCCCGGCTTGCGAGCCGCCTCTCTGCGCGGCTTGCCTGGTCTGCGAGCCGCCGCCGGGTGCGACCTGCCCGGCCTGCGAGGCGGCCGGCGGCGACGCCGGGCGAGAGGGCGGCTGAGGCTCGCTGGAGCGCTGCCCGGAGGCCTGGTGCACTGGCTGGTGGGAGCCTCCGGTCGCAGGCATGACGACGCTCGTGTGGTGGCTTCTCAGCGTCGTGGGGCGGAGGTGGTGGATTAGAGCGCTCCTAGTGGAGCCTGGGGTCTGCCGATTCGCCGGCGACGACGTCGATGACGGACGGGTGCTGCTGCACTACGTGGCAGAGGGCGGACGGGTCATCCTGTCCCCAGAGGTTGACATCTACGCGGAGGACATGAGCTGCGGCAGGGCCGAGACCGGGCCTGCCCGGTCCATCCCGCTGGCGCAGCGGGTGGGCAGGATGCGGAGGCTGTATCGCTTCGAGGAGACGCTGGGGCCTGAGGATCGGGCCAGGACGCGGACGCGGGGCCGTCAGGCGGCGCTGTATGTAGAGGCGGCGTCGCCTGAGCCGAGGGAGGCCGGGGCCGTGAGCGGCCCGCGGGTCTCGTGGCAGGAGGCCGCTGGCAGGCGGCTGGCCGCGGAGCGGGGTGGCCTGCTGTGCCTAAGCATGGCCGTGGCTCGCCTGGTGGGGACGCCGCTGGGGGCTCCTGCTGGGGGAGACACCTGGGTCGGCCGCAGTGGCTTGCCCGGCGATGAGATCGGGGCGGAGGTCGACGTGGCGAAGACTGGAGGCCTGAGCTTCGAGGACGGGCTTGAGGCGTTCGGCGTGCTGAGGTCCGCCGACGGTGGCACGGGGCGACTCGGCCGACTGGGCGCGGGGTCGGACGCTGGGCGCCTGGCCGAGGAGGAGGCTTTCAGGCATGACCTAGGCAGGAGCCAGGCGCGTGCCGAGGGCCCCGAGCGCCGACGCACTGCGGCCGCGGCGCCACTCGAGGGTGAGGAGCCCGCCGGGCCCATACGCGGCACAGCTATGCCTGGGCTGGCGCAGCCGCCCCTGGCGGAGCCGCTGGGCGAGCAGCGAGACGCCCTCGTCCGCACGCTCCGGGTCTTCTACGACGAGCAGGGCGGACGGGTCAGACGATGGCGATACGTGGTAGGCGAGTCGAGGCAGGGGCGCCGCCCAGACGCACAGGTGGGCAGACCGCCTGGGGCTCTCCACAAGCGCGAGCACATGGTGAGGCACGGTGGCGACCCGCGTCTCGAGCCCGACTTCGCCGTATGCGTGGGGGGCCGTGAGGAGAATGACTGGGTGGTGCAGAAGCTGAGGACGATCGTGGAGGCCTGGTACCAGGGCTTATTACGTGTCCAGCTGAACATGAGCGGCCTTATGATGGTGGGGGAGATGACTCACCGCGGGACCGCCATGCTGGAGGCCCACGGGGACCTGCCCAAGCCGAGCTGGGGCATCTTCGCGGACGTGAGCTCGGAGCAGGACGTCTCGGGGTCAGAGCTCAGGGGCTACATCCACCAGGGGGCGATGAAGCCGTACGAGGTGGAGCAGGCGCAGAATCGGGCAGGTACGCTACGCGGGGCGCCTGCAAGGACCGTCGGCGGAGCAGAAGGAGCTGGAGGCGACGCAGCAGGAGCGGGGCGTGGTGGCGGCCGAGGCGGCCGCGGACGCGCCCGGGCCAGGGGCGTCGCCTCCGCGGGGCCATGACGGCCCCCGGGCCCGGGGGGACCAGCCCCTCCCCCGGGCCCTTTTTGCCGGGGCACGACGGTGGCCGCCTGCCGCCCTCGCGTGGAGCTCGCAGCTTCCTGCCGCTCCCGCTGCTGGGCGACGCTGGCCGCCGAATTCGCGGCAGGTCTTGCAGGGCGAGGCAGTTCGGCCGTGAGAATCGAATTGCGTCGGAGGTCAACGGTATCGTCGATGCCGCCAACTGGATGTCGGGGTACGACTCGCTTCCTGGCCCAGCCAATGACATGCAGCGGGATGTACTTGCGCGCTTCGAGGGCCTCGTTCGGGGCCGGCAGCCGGACGCCAAGTTGCAGGATCCGCAGGCGGCCCTCCGGGAGCTGCTGCGGGGCCGTTCGCCATGCGACGGGCGCAGCGGCCCGACGACGGTCGCCTCCTACAGTGCAGGGCTCGTCAGCATGCCGATGGACGTGAGCGGCTGCCCGCGTCTAGAGGACCTCTTGCCTGGCGAGGCCCTTACTTTCCTGCAGGAGCGCCATGAGCGCATGTTGCGAGAGTCACCCTTGCCGACTGACGTCGGGCCGTACTTCGACTCGGTCCTCAAGTTCAACCACAAGGAGTACCGCAGCCTGGTGCGCCGGCTGCTATCGGCTGGCATTCTGGGATGGACTCTAACACCGAAAGAGAGAATTGGGATGTTTTTTTGTGTGGAAGAATGGGCGGCGCCGACTTCGCCTCACAGTCGACGCCCGCCGTGCGAACGCCCACTTCAAGGACCCTCCTGGGGTGGAGCTTTTGAGCAGCGAGGGCCTTGCCAGAATCGAGGTGCACGTGCCAGACGCGGGCTTCTCGAACTACGAGGACCTCCGCGCCGCGCTGGAGGCGCAGCAGGTGTACATCGGCATGGCGGACGTGAAGGACTGCTTTCATCGGATGCGTATTGATTCGGCCCTCTCGCAATACTTCTGCCTGCCGCCGGTCAAGGCTGGGGCCTTCGGCGTGACCGAGGTCGAGGGGACCAAGGTGCAGACGTCGACGGCCATCTACCCCTGCTGGCAGGCGCTGCCCATGGGCTTCAGCTGGTCCCTCTACTTCGCCCAGCGGGCCAACGAGGAGGTGAGCCGCCGCAGCAGCGCGCTCCTTCGGGGGCCCGGTCTTTCAGACCATGGGCCACCGCTCGTGTTCGCGCCGGGCAGAGCGTCCCAGGAGGTCAGGCACTACGTGCACGTTGACAACCTGGGGGTCTTCTCGCTTTTCTCTGAATTCGTGAGCGGCGTGATGAACCAGCTGACAGGCGAGTTCACCAAGCTGAGCCTACTGCTGCACAAAGACGAGCTGGTGCCGGACAAGGCAGTGGCGCTGGGCACGGAGATCGACGGGGGCCTATTGCGCACTCGTGTGACCAGTGATCGGTTCTGGCGCTGCCGCCAGGCCGTGCGAGGCCTCCTAGCCCGCCGCCGTGTCAAGGGGTGGGCCGTGGAGGCAGTGCTGGGCCACCTAACCTTTTGTGGCCTCTGCTCTCGCGGCACCTTGTCAGCCTTCAATTCAGTTTACGGCTTCGTGCGAGCCCACTACGACGAGGCTGCCGTGCTATGGGCTGAGGCGCGGCAAGAGCTGGCGGCCTTCAGCTCTTTGATGTACTTCCTGGAATCAGATTGGTGGCTGCCTTGGAATCCCCTGGCGCAGCAGTCAGATGCCAGTCTTCACGGCTACGGACTGGCAAGGGCCTTTTGGCCGCGGGAGCTGGTGGAGTCAGTCGGGCGCGTGCCTGAGCGAGCCCGCTTTCGCCGGCGCTGCGCGCACAGTGCCCGCGAGGCTGCGCTCTGTGCAGCTGGATTCAGCATGAGCGAGAGTGGAAAATGGGAACTCAAGGGCCTTCCTGAAGATGAGGAGGAGCTGGGCCAGTGGGGCGTTGCGAGGGACTTCCCGGAGGTGCCCGCCCGGGGGCTCCGCGCAAGTCTGCGGGAGCCCTGCTTCGCAAGAGCCTGGCAGCACCCTGAGGGCATCCTGACCTTAGAGGCCCGAGCCCTGGTCAGCAGCATACATCGTATTGCCACCACGGTGTTTGGGTCCCACATACGTCAGTTGCTGCTCTGTGACAATATGTCGGTCGTGCTAAGCTTCAATCGAGGGAGGAGCTCTTGTTTCAACTTGTTGGTCCAGATTCGTCGATTTCATGCTGTCTGTCTGAGCCGAAATATTCGTTGTTCGGTTCGTTGGACACCCAGTGAGCTCAACTGTGCCGACCTCCCCTCACGGCTATTTAATCCTGACGGCGCAAAGTCCACCCTTCTGGCTGAGCTGTTGGAGCTCGAGGGCTCCCAGGCGGGCTCAGAGCGGGTTCCCGCCTGGTCCGCGCCTGAGCGGGTAGCCGGTGGCGCCGCGGCCCGCGATGCTGCCTGTGCGCCCGCGGACGCCAGGCGGGCGTGGCCGCCGCCTCGGCCCCCTGCAGGTCAGACAGGGCGCGAGGCCAGGGGCGGGACGCCAGCGCACACGGCAGCTGGCGCCGTCCCGCCTGAGGCCTGGCCTGGGGACGTCTGCCCAGGGTCAGGAGGCAGGATGCCCGCGGCAGCTTGCCCCTTTGCCGCCAGTCGCGCCGCGGCCGTCGCCGGCAGCTCGGCGGGAGCGTCAGCTGGGCGAGTCGGAGCTCCTGAGGACAGCGGTGCAGGGCCGTCTCCTGCCGCGGAGCCTGGAGCAGATGGCGGAGGACCTGAAGGAGGTGCCTGTGCCAGTTGGGCCCGCTCAGGGAGCGCGAGAGAGCGACGGCTCCTCCGGCAGCGGGAGCTCCGAGCCCGAGGTCGAGACCGGCGCCGCGCGGCAGCGCAGGCTCGCGCAGTCGCACGGGCGCCTTGCCCGCCACTACGGGATGACCACTGGCAAGAAGGGGCCCCCTTACCTGGAGAGGGAGGCCGCGTGGATCCCGCCGCTGCGCGAGTACCAGAGGGCTGCGAACCTTGGCGAGGTCATGGAGAGCAGGGACGATTCCATGGTGATCTCGGCGTTGGTTGGCCAGCTGACCGGACTGCACCAGACTGGGACTCACCCCTTCTGGGCCGAGAGGCTGATGGTCGGCGGCCTGCACTTCAACCCCGACATGTCGAGCTACGGTGCCCGGCGCCTCCCCCCGGGCTGGAGTTTCTGGACTCTGAGGCTCTTCCCGGAGGAGAAAGGCCCGTGGGAGAGAGCGGGCCTGGTGGGGGTGTCGCTAGAGTCAGACTCGCCCTGGATGCGCTTCTTGGGCCCTGTGCTGAGTCACATGAAAAAGGAGATGCACCCCGTGTACCCATGGAACTTCACGTGCCCAGAGTACCGCAGGATGTTCAGCCTACGTCTCCAAGACCTGCCAGCAAGAGCCGAGTTGGTGCCGTATCAGGTCTGCCTTTCAAGGGCCTTGGTATGCATGGCGAGGAGGTGGGGGCGGCTGGCCGAGGTGCAGACACGCTGGCAGTGGAGAGCCAAGCGCAGCGTCGTCCGCTACGAGAAGCACGCGCGCCTGGCAGCCACGTGGACAGCTCGGAGCCGAACGGTGCAAAAAGTGTTCCTGGTCTGCGGGGCTCAGCTCGCGGACATCATTTTGGATCGCGCCTCGCCGCTCGACTTGCGGGAGCTCGACCGCGTCTGACTGGCCAATATGTGGCCGACTGCTTCAGTGGCACAGGAGGCGCGGGTCGCGCCGCAATGGCAATGGGCGTACCAGCCAGGTTCTGGGACACGCTGCACGGGCCGGGCGGCGACCTCACCCGACGGAAGGTCCTGCGGGGCTTGTGCTCCGACGTCGCCGCAGGCCGCGTCTTGGCCGTGATGCTGGCGCCGCCGCGTGGGCCCTGGACCACCGCTGCCGACCGAGTGGGAGCCATCCGCTCGGCATCGCAGCCCTGGGGACTTCCGCGACATCTTCTGAGTACGAAACAGCTGGCTCGTCTGGCATCGGGCAATAAGACCATGCGTGCCGCTCTGAGCGTCATCAGATGTTGCGAGAATTTTGAAGTCCCCTGCATAATTGAGCATCCTGTAAATTCACGCGTTTTTGTCACGAGAGAGGTTCTGGGGGTTATAGAACGGGGGGCTGTTGTAAGATGTCTCGATCAGTGTCAAGAGGGTGCTCGCTGGCGCAAACGAACAAGATTTTTGTGTCTGAACATAGATGTTCAGGATAGCTGCTGCCTCGATCGTCGGTGTGGTCAGATCAACGGTATTTGTAACAAGTCTGGCCGTCCACACATCGTGCTGGAGGGCAACGCCCCGAATGGTGCGAAATGGACCGCTATCGCGGCCGCCTATCCGCCAGCCCTCAATAGGAAACTCGCTAAAGTCCTTTTGAGTGAATGGCGCGCGTCGTTATATAATCACCCTTGCCCACCCACCCAGTAAACATTCTTGGGAACGGCTTGGGTTGACGGTGCCTCACAGCTGAGCGCAAGGACGCGCAGCCGTTCGTTCATCTGTGTCCCCGCCTTGAAAAGATCTCGGGACGTCCTGGTTTGTGCTTGCACGTGAAGGAAGTCAAGAGGGGTTTTCATTATGTCGCCCCTTTGGCTCCGCTCCTTCTTGCATCGCATAGCTTCTCTGGCCCCCCGCCCCCCCCGAACCCTCTCGAGCATGCGTGCACACACATGCTCTGTCTCATTCTTCTCTGTGGTTGACGGTGCCTCACAGCTGAGCGCAAGGACGCGCAGCCGTTCGTTCATCTGTGTCCCCGCCTTGAAAAGATCTCGGGACGTCCCAGCATTGTTTGTTTGCCTCTTGGGCCCTCTTGGGAATGCACTTGGAGACCTCCTGGGGATCTTGGAGGCTTCTTGGGTCATCTTGGAGACATCTTGGGCCGTCTGGAGGCCATCTTGGGCGTCGTGGGGCGATATTCGGGCGTCTCGGACCTCTCTTGGACCGTGTTGGGGGCGTTCTTGGGGCCCTCTTGGGCCGTCTTGGAGGCCTCTGGGGCCGTCTTGGAGCCGTCTTGGGCCGTCTTGGGGCCCTTTTGAGGGCCTCTTGGGCCCTCTTGGGGCGATCTTGAGGCCTCTTGAGCCGATTAGAGAGTGCGGTCGGGGGGGAGACCGTAGGGGGAACGGTGTGTAGAAGCGGAGACGGGGGGGCAGGCGCAAGCACGCGATGTGTGCCGAGCGGATCTCTTCTCGGAGGTACGAGACATCGGAGCGTCTAATAGAGGTAGGGATTAAGCAGCACACGTTTGAGGTCCCTCCTTGAGGAATCCATCATGGGGAACAGACGCAGTCCGCTTGGGGGTGCGATCTTGAGACGTGCCCAAGACTGCCTTTGGCTCTGGGCAGCTTGGAGAGACGTCTTGGGCCGTCCGGAGGCCATCTTGGGCGTCGTGGAGCGATCTTCGGGCGTCTCGGACCTCTCTTGGACCGTTTTGGGGGCGTTCTTGGGGCCCTCTTGGGCCGTCTTGGAGGTCTCTGGGGCCGTCTTGGAGCCGTCTTGGGCCGTCTTGGGGCCCTTTTGAGGGCCTTTTGGGCCCTCTTGGGGCGATCTTGGAAGGCTTCTGGAGCCGTTTAGGGGCGTCGGGGAGACGCCCAAACCTGTCCAAAACCTAAGAAAAAGCATTGATGTTTGCCTCTTGGGGCCCTCTTGGGAGTGCTCCTGGAGGCCTCTTGGGGTACTTGGAGGCTTGTTGGATCATCTTGGAGACCTCTTGGGCCGTCTGGAGGCCATCTTGGGCGCCGTGGAGCGATCTTCGGGCGTCTCGGACCTCTCTTGGATTGTGTTTGGGGCCTCTTGGGGCCCTCTTGGGGCGATCCTGGAGGATCTGGGGGAGTGTCCCGGGCGTGTCCCGGGCTCCGCCCGGGGTACTTTTGATCCAGGGGCCCCCAGGGGCCGCCCCGCGCGCGCGAACCAGAAATACGGTTTACCAGTTGCCGGTGCCTCCCACGGAGCCCCAGGAGGCACAAATAGTTTATTTCGCCGTTGGGTTTGTAAGGATTTTCGGATTCTCGCCTTTTCAGATTCCCGGCGCTCCACACGGCCCAAGAGGCCCCAATGTCCATTCCAAGACAGCCCCAGATGCCTCGAAGACGGCCACAAGACAGCCCAAGAGGGCCCCAAGACGGCGCCAGAGGCGCCCATGTCGGCCCGAGAGGGCCCCAAGACGGCCCCAAGAGGAAGCCAAGAGGGGTAATACGAACCACAGATCCTAGCCTTCCACCCCGAGAGGCTCTCAGGAGGCCCCGAGAAGCCTCCAACAGGCTCCAAGAGACCCCAAGAAGCGCACCGGGGGGCCGAAGAGGTTCCAAGGCCCCAAGAGGCAAAAACTTTTGTCTTGCCATACGTGTTTGATTGATTTTAGAGGTGTCAGCTTGGTGGCGTCCCGACGCTCCAAGACGGCCCCAAAGGCCTCCAAGACCTTTCCAAGATAGCCCAAGAGGCCTCCAACAGGGCCCCAAGACAGCCAACGAGGGCCCCAAGAGGGTGCCTGGGGCGCCCGAGAGGGCACCAAGACTGCCCCAAGAGGGGCCCAAGAGGGGTAAGACGAGTCGACAATCCGAGCCTTCCACCCCGAGAGGCTTTCAGGAAGCCCCAAGAGGCCCCCAGTAGGACCCAAGAGGCCCTCAAGAAGCTCCCCAGAGGGCCGAAGGGGTTCCAAGAGGCCTCCCAGGAAGGCCTGTAGAGGCACAACTCATTCCCCACATGCTTAGTAGGGTTCTGGGTTTCTTCCCTGCAGCGTCGCACCCAGGTCTCACCTCACACCTCCCCTCCTCCTCACAGCCTTGCTCAACACAGCTCAGCTCAGCTCAGCTCAGCACGGCACAGCTTAGCACAGCTCAGCTCAGCTCAGCACAGCACAGCACAGCGCAGCACAGCACAGTTCACCGCAGAACAGCACAGCACAGCACAGCGCACAGCACAGCACAGCACAGCTCAGCTCAGCACAGCACAGCGCAGCTCAGCTCAGCACAGCACAGCACAGCACAGCACAGCACAGCTCACCGCAGCACAGCACAGCACAGCACAGCACAGCACAGCACACAACACAGCACAGCACAGCACAGGCGTGGCACAGGCGTGGCACGCATGGCATTTCCTCGACACCACAGGGGGGGGAACTGTGGGTGGGGATGCTATCCGTTTCGGGCTCGCAGGGCGTGGCAGGCGTGGCACTTCCTCGACCACACGGGGGAGCTGCGGGTGGGGACGCTTAATCCGTTTCGGCTCGCAAATCGTGGCAGGCATGGCATTTCCTCGACACCACAGGGGGGAGCTGTGGGTTGGGACGCTATCCGTTTCGGGCTCGCAAAGCGTGGCAGGCGTGGCATTTCCTCGACACCACAGGGGGAGAGCTGTGGGTGGGGACGCTATCCGTTTCGGGCTCGCAAAGCGTGGCAGGCGTGGCATTTCCTCGACACCACAGGGGGGAGCTGTGGGTGGGGACGCTATCCGTTTCGGGCTCGCAAAGCGTGGCAGGCGTGGCGCTTCCGCGACACCACAGGGGGGGAGCTGTGGGTGGGGACGCTATCCGTTTCGGGCTCGCAAAGCGTGGCAGGCGTGGCACTTCCTCTACACCACACGGGGAGCTGGTGGGTGGGGAAACGCTATCCGTTTTTCGGGCTCGCAAAGCGTGGGCAGGGCGTGGCACTTCCATCGACTCACCAGGGAGGCGCTGCGGGTTTGAACGCTATCCGTTTCGTGGCAGGCGTGGCACTTCCTCGACACCACAGGAGGGGAGTTGTGGGTGGGGACGCTATCCGCTTCGGGCTCGCAACGCGTGGCAGGCGTGGCACTTCCTCGACGCCACAGGGGGGAGCTGTGGGTGGGTACGCTATCCGTTTCGGGTTCGCAAAGCGTGGCAGGCGTGGCACTTCCTCGACACCACAGGGGGGGAGCTGTGGGTGGTGACGCTATCCGTTTCGGGCTCGCAAAGCGTGGCAGGCGCGGCACTTCCTCGACACCACAGGGGGGGGGGGGAGCTGTGGGTGGGGACGCTATCCGTTTCGGGCTCGCAAAGCGTGGCAGAGGACTGTGGGTGGGGACGCTATCCGTTTCGGGCTGGCGTGGCACTTCCTAGACACCACAGAGGGGGGAGCTTTGGGTGGGGACGCTATCCGTTTCGGGCTCGCAAAGCGTGGCAGGCGTGGCACTTCCTCGACACCACAGGGGGGGAGCTGTGGGTGGGGACGCTATCCGTTTCGGGCTCGCAAAGCGTGGCAGGCGTGGCACTTCCTCGACACCACAGGGGTGAACTGTGGGTGGGGACGCTATCCGTTTCGAGCTCGCAAAGCGTGGCAGGCGTGGCACTTCCTCGACACCACACGAGGACACCACAAGGGGGGAGCTGTGGGTGGGGACGGTATCCGTTTCGGGCTCGCAAAGCGTGGCAGGCGTGGCACTTCCTCGACACCACAGGGGGGGAACTGCGGGTGGGGACGCTATCCGTTTCGGGCTGCGTGGCATTCCTCGACACCACAGGGGGGGGAGCAGTGGGTGGGGACGCTATCCGTGGGCTCGCATAGCGTGGCAGGCGTGGCATTTCCTCGACACCACAGGGGAGGAGCTGTGGGTGGGGACGCTATCCGTTTCGGGCTCGCAAAGCGTAGCACGCATGGCCCTTCCTCGACACCACAGAGGGGGAACTGTGGGTGGGGGCGCTATCCGTTTCGGGCCCGCAGAGCG